GTGAAAATAATTTTCTCATGCCTTAAAATAGCTTGAATGTAACTCTACACCCTTGCCTCATTTACTATACGCGGATCTATGAATATGCAAATTAGTCCCGCCTCCACTCAGTCACACCAGCCAGTGCCTCCTGATCCACTGAACTGTAGTAACCGCAAAACAATGGCATACACGGATAATGACTGATAAAACTATGTTTTTACTAGCGGACAACTACAGTGAATACTGTAACATTCGTTAAAGTTACTTACTTGGCGATGTTGTGTCCTAAAATGCCTTGAAGACTCGAATGCAGCCGTTTGTGATTGTTAATTCGCGCCCGCGAGCGTGTGTGAAGTGCAGACGCAGCTGTGGGAGAGGTGCGTCTGACTCCAGGCTACTTCTACACTGTTGCCGTGGGTTATAATGCAAGTTAGCGGTTCTAAATTCACATTAAACCACAGCTTCATGGGTTTTTTGCTTTGATTTATGATTGGTTATTGGTTTGTGACGTAGCAAACCGAGGGCTGTTTCAAACCATATTTCTGGGACTGCCTTTGGGAAACTACAGTTTTAAGGAGAAAATACTCAGCAATGGTGTTGATTAATAGATTGGCACATGGTTTGTCTAAAAGCATATTAAAAACACCACATAGACAAATAAACAACATAAAAAAACTTGATTTTCACTACAGGGGGACTTTAAGTATGAATAGTAAAACATTTTTTTGCTGTTTTATTAAATGGTAATGAATTGAATTCAATCATGAATATTTCTATTTTGCTGTCTGTCTCTCAGATATGACATGTGCCTTCGGGAGCCTCTCCTTCTCAACTGCTGTTTTCTGCTGTGCCGGGGTGGGGTTAAACCAATGGACTTGGTGTCCGTTACAACCAGCCCATGCACTTCATCTACCACATCCAATCAGAATGGGCACCCACCTGCTCCTAGGAGGCTTTTCTCTTTCCTTTCTGTGGCCTGGGGTTTTGTGTCTGATGTGGACATAGAGAGTGAGCGTTACAGAGGGCTGGGCTCAGCACGGTTTACACTGGGAACACTAGTGAGATTGGCTTCTCTGCGCTCCTATAAGGGATGTCTTTCCTACCTTCCACCCACTATGGTCAACCCGTCCCCCGATGCCACACCTCAGCAACCCCGAAGGCCACTTTCACGTAGCATTACCGAAGGCTTGGAGGGTTTTTGTCGCACTCCCATTCACCGCACCTGCTCAGACATGGGCCTGAGTGAACAAAGAAGTCTCCGTAAGGGAGATGAGGAGAGAGAGAGGGAAAGAGAACGGGAGAAGCAGGAGAGAGAGCAGGAGAGGGAGAGGAGGAGAGAGAGGGCAAGAGGGGTTGGGGTAGTGAGAGCTAGCAGTCTCGCAGAAGACCGAGAGAGAGAGGTGGAAGCAGAAGAGAAGATGGAGGAGATGTCAGGGACCAGCTCAGAATCAAACGAAAGGGAAGAGTGTGACAACATAGCCAGTAATAATGGGAACAGGGAAGAAGAGAATAAACCGGGTGGGGATGAGATCGACGGAGAAGGAGTAACGAAAACGAGAGATGAGGTTAATGAGTGCAATGAGAGTTATCAAACGACTCCACCTGAGATGCAACACACACTACATAAAAACTCGGCCCCTTCTAGCCAGATAATTAACGCCTTCTTCAGCCAGCCAATCGGGGCAGACACTGACCAAGACTTTGAGCTGGCAGCCTATGGCAAGGAGGATGAAGACGTAAACGGCACCTACTTTCAGAGAGAGGCGTTTCCATTGGACAAGTCTCGTGAGCGAGCCCTCACCATCTCATCTTCTCCGTTCCGTCAGTCTCCTTTCAAAGCTTTTAAACCTAAAACTTTGGACCAGAACCAGAACCCCTCACGGCCACGGCCCCTCTCTCTTCTCCACCAATCGCATTCAAACTCTCTCCCTCCAAAATTTCCATCCCTTTCTTTGTCCCTTTCCCCAACCCCTCCTTCATCTCCATCTTGCGCCTCTCCCCACTCTTCTTATCTTGTGCCACGTCCCAACACTCCCAGCTCGTCTTCCTCATCACCTTCTTTTCATTCGCCGACCCCTTCCTTCAGCTTTGACCTTGCAGAGCCTGCAGGACCCCTGAAGAACCACCCTCACACGACATCCTCCATCAAGCTGCCAGAAGATGATCTACTACCTCCTCTGGACCAACCTCTCCCTACACGTGACTGGGTCACTATTGAGGGCGATTTTGTCCTGGTGCTTGCCATCTATCAGACCCACCTGGGAGCAGATCTTTTCGCTGCGCCTCAGGCTCGATTTGATGATGGGTTGATCCATTTGACATTTGTGCGGGCTGGTATCTCACGGGCAACACTGCTTAGACTGTTCCTAGCAATGGAGAGAGGAGCCCATTTGTCCATTAGCTCTCCCTACGTTAGTCATATTTCTGCTCGGGCATTCCGCCTTCAGCCGCTTTCACCACGAGGAACCCTCACTGTAGATGGAGAGCTAGTGCCCTATGGGCCACTGCAGGCACAGGTGAGCTTAGTCAATAATGATATTTAATTGATTAACAAAGTCAATCTTTAAAAACACTAATAATTTAATAACACTGACATGTAATTTTTAGCAAATCTCAAAATGAATATCCATTTTCATATTGTATATTATAATGTTATGATGCCAAAATACTCTTGAAGCATTTAAAATGACATTTGGCTTTTGGTGTTTTATTTTAAATTTGAAAAAAAAAAAATATATGAAAGCTTTCTTTTTTTTAACATGCCTGATTGTACCTTATTTTGTCCCAGGTTCATCCCTCCATGGCCCGTTTGATTGTTGGGGACTCTGGAATAAAGATTACAAGATTCTGACCTGTTTGGATTTGAACAGGCAGGGATTAGCGTGACGCTTTGGATAATATAACATTTTGCCATCCGCATATGGGGGGGAGAGAAACAGAAAGCCAGCAGTTGCTATCACTGCTTTTACTGGGATTAACTAAGGGATTGTTTATTCAAGCTGCATATGCAAGAAGTATTTTGGAATTTAACGAAGGGATGAAAACTGGCAGCCTATTGCACGACTGTAGGATTACACTTGGATTACCCACACTGTAGTTGGAGAGAGAATGCTAAAATGTCTACACAAAAGTGGAAACGGCGAAACTGAATGTGTCCAACTGGTGTATGCATTTTAGTATGCATTTGATTCACAACAGTGCTCCTGCCTTATTTCAGAGTGGAAAAAATGACAGTCAAACACTAACAACAATAGCTAGCTTTTAGGTTGTCACGCCCACATCCAAATATGGCTCTACCCGTTTTGCATAATAGGCTTAGTAATTTACATACTGGCTTAGTATCACTTGCTCTGAAACCTCATTTAGCAAGGATTTATCAGCAATGAACTAGATCTCCGTCCAGCTTTTGAAAACTTGTTTTATGGGACTAAAAAGAAATGCAATCAGTTCCATCTTTCGTCCATTTTTTGCAGGTATTTTTAGGACACAATCATTGTGTAGCTTGAGTGGAACAGTTAAATGAGGGATGTTGTGTTGTATATTGCATTGCTAGTTTGTGTAAGAAATGCATGCGATGATGATGATGATGATGATATCCAGTAACTAGCTATATGCATTGCAGTGAACACAGAAAGAATGCTAGGAAAACTTCCAGTTCAGCATTTCCCTGCTGAAAAAACAGCCAATCCCCCCCCCCCCCCCAATAATATTGTATCACTGTCTTCTATGACATAATGCAAACTTGCATAACGTTTGCTAATTTTTATTCCTAATGAATCAAGAAAGAACTGGAAGTTATGGATCAATTGGTAATGCACCTTCAACTCCCTTTCCTGAAAGATTAATCTGTTAAATATTAGTCAAGGACTATTTCATAGTGATCAGTAACTTGATTACATTTTAGTCTATTTCTCTCACAAACCATTTGTAAGGCTGATTCCCTAGAGTAAAATTTATTTGTCAGCTCTTTAAGAGAACAGGCCTGTGGAAAGTCCAGCTGTGAAGCTGAGTATGATTGTAATGGAGCCTTTCCAGTGCTTTTAATTTTACCTAAATATTTATTAGAAAAATGCCCTGTTTACATTTCTTCTGTCCTTTTCATTTTCCAGAGGACCACAATTTGACAAATGCAGCTTTCTTATGTGAATTTACAATGATTAGCAAATCATATTTAATTCCAATAACTCAACTGGTATTTCCGAATAGCTGTTTAGTTCTGTCTAGTGCAATAATTTCAGCTTCTGTTGATCCTCACATCTTAAGTGTCGGCTGGTATGTAAGTTTAGTTGTTTTATTTGCAAGTCTGGGAACTCCAAATGATATTCAGCTGCAATCAGAGGGCCAGTTATTTGGTTTTGTTTTTCATTTCCTATATTTCCTTCCTTCTTTTCTTAGCGTGATCTAATAAATTTGGTATCAAGCTGCTGTCTACCTTGAAAATGCCAGTTTAAGATGTCTCTTCATTCTACGATGCTTGTATTAAGATTGTAATTACTATTAAATGTATATACATTATTTACAGTTTCTAGTTCTGTATGGTTTAAAATGTTTGTTTCAGATAAAGTTTAACTATGAAACATTTTACATTCTTTAGGCTTTCCAAGGTAGGAAAAACAGTTGTACGACAGAGGTATCACTACGAACACTGAGGATAAATGTTTTCCTCTGATCTGATTCAACAAATGTCAGTTCAGGAATGTTTTTCCTCTTTGATTAGCACATTCTCAAGGGGAGGCAAGAACAAAAAGGAGCTGGAACTATGAAAAACATGTGACATAATTTCACACAATCTCAACTTTAATTAATACAAAGCTATTTCAGAGGTGGAAAACAATGCAAGTTTCTCTTAGACAAGATGAGTAAGGCACCAGTGGTCTGATAGCCTCGTGTTTCACTTCTCTCTGTCTCCTTTTGGTTATCAGGTTTGCACAAATTGGTAAACAAGGAAGCCGTCGTCTCAGACTCTCTTCCTCTCTTTCTTTCAGCTCTTCATCCTTCTCTTCACAGTCTACTAATCTCCACATACCACTACAAGGTTCAGCCATTATCTTGCTTTGTTGTAGTGTCTCCACCTTCCTATCAGCTCCATGAGCAGTTTATTTTCTCATTGTTTTCCCACTTGTATCTCAGCATCCACTTGATTATAGACCTACTGTGTACTACATTGCCCTTTTGCTCCTTTAGATTACAGCTAGTCTGCGTTGCCCTCTCTCCCTCCTTCCACTTGCCTCCCCTCCTTTTCCCCTAGAAGCAATTTATTGTTTTGGTGCTCTTTTGTCCTCCGTAGTTGGTCCTTGTGCAGTTGGTGGCCACCTACTGGTTAATTTAACCACTTCACTCTACATTGTGACTTGTTATTTCCAACATAATTTCAGCATCCAAGTTGCTGCGTTTTTTTTTTTTTTTTTTACTTTAGCTTTTTAATAATATTATGACTGAATATCTTCAAATTGTGACTACATATAGTATCTCGCATTGTGACTTTATATCTTGTTACCCCTCCCCCCCCCATTGAAATGTAATTATTTGATCTTTCCTGTAGATTACACTATATAATCTGCTTTCGCCTAGAAAAATAGTCCATTACATTGTTGAAAACAATTAGCCTAGTCACAAGATAAACACTATAATATATTATTATTAATATGCAAACCAATTTGCTTGATCTATAGGCATACAACTTATTTCGTCTGAGTGTGACATGACTTCGTTTGAGTTGTCTCTATTCCAGCTTTTTTTCTTCCTCTCTGTCTCTCACGAGGTTCTTGTTCTTCCGAACCATCTTTTCGTTTTCTTTAACAAATGTTTAGAAGCTCAAGAGTGAAACTTTCTATTTTGGGTAACAATCTTGAGACCTATTAATTACAGCGGAGTGATAGAGAGACTTGAAAGTAACACCGGTTCCTAAACGAATGGTGATTCTGAAAAACTGCAGCTGACCAGTAAGTCATTGAGAGACATAATTTCCCATTTATTTTAAAACATAAAATCATGCTATGGGAATTATCAGCGCCTCGTATTGATGAAAACAGAGTCTAACATGTGCTCTCTCACCACAAGGTGGCGTAAACAAGGCATTTGCACAGCACTTCATGGTGATTTCTTATAGAGAATATACAGATGACTGGTTAATATTGATGCATTTCTTAACATTTCACTGTGTCATTGATCAGCATAAATTAGATCAGTGTTATTTTAGTATCATACTAAAATAGATACCAAAGAGCATTTAAAAGAGATACTAATAGTTTTAATTTTTTGAATGAATTTTTTTTTCATTTTTCATTTTAAGTTTACCTGGCATCTTAGTAATTGTTTTTTTTTTTTTTTTTTTTTTTTTTTTTTTTTAATTTTTTTTTTTTTTTTTTTTTTTTTTTTGGTTTTTAAAAACCAAATATGTCTATACACATCTATAAACCAATCTCTATATCGTTTTTTTTAAATACATTTTTGTTTACGTCTTAGTTTATTTTAGTACATCAAATCAGAATGAAAGAAAAAGTTTCCTTTGAAACTAGCTGAAATAAAATAAGTTTGAGTTAATGCTTATGTCAAGTATGGAAAAACCTATTTATGATTTCAGTTTTAGTTAATTATAATAACCCTGGTAGAGATTATTTTTCGTTCCTGTATACACTTCACCAAATGTATATTAAGAAACAACTGGTGGCCTTGAGTGTGTTGTCATCGGTTATGTTTCACCTGTTTTACAGGAAGATTCCTCCTTTTTACCTTTTACAAGTTGGGGGGGGGAGGTGTGTGTTTTACTTTCCTGTAGCTATGCATGAAAGGAGCCGTATGTGTATTATAAACAAAGATGTGTGAGAGCACACCTGTCAGTCGCCCAGGTGAACTCAGGGAAACAGCCTAAAGCAGTGATGGCTCGTTTGGATTTGAACTTCTTACTCATGTTGTCTGTGCTGGTAGGGGTCACAGAAGCTTTTCTGGCACAATTCAGCCACCAAGGAGCCATGGCCCATGGAGACATCATCATTGGAGGTCTTTTCCCCATCCACGAGGCAGTAGAGGCAGTGAACTACATTGGCTTAAACAGCTTCTCTTCTCCTCAGCGTCCAAACTGCAGCAGGTGAGCGTTCATTGTGGATAATCCAGTCATGAAGGTCATACAAAAAAATGACTGAACTTGTCTTTTTTTTTTTTTTTTTGTCATTGGATAATATATCTATAAACCAATCTCTATATCGTTTTTTTTAAATACATTTTTGTTTACGTCTTAGTTTATTTTAGTACATCAAATCAGAATGAAAGAAAAAGTTTCCTTTGAAACTAGCTGAAATAAAATAAGTTTGAGTTAATGCTTATGTCAAGTATGGAAAAACCTATTTATGATTTCAGTTTTAGTTAATTATAATAACCCTGGTAGAGATTATTTTTCGTTCCTGTATACACTTCACCAAATGTATATTAAGAAACAACTGGTGGCCTTGAGTGTGTTGTCATCGGTTATGTTTCACCTGTTTTACAGGAAGATTCCTCCTTTTTACCTTTTACAAGTTGGGGGGGGGAGGTGTGTGTTTTACTTTCCTGTAGCTATGCATGAAAGGAGCCGTATGTGTATTATAAACAAAGATGTGTGAGAGCACACCTGTCAGTCGCCCAGGTGAACTCAGGGAAACAGCCTAAAGCAGTGATGGCTCGTTTGGATTTGAACTTCTTACTCATGTTGTCTGTGCTGGTAGGGGTCACAGAAGCTTTTCTGGCACAATTCAGCCACCAAGGAGCCATGGCCCATGGAGACATCATCATTGGAGGTCTTTTCCCCATCCACGAGGCAGTAGAGGTAGTGAACTACATTGGCTTAAACAGCTTCTCTTCTCCTCAGCGTCCAAACTGCAGCAGGTGAGCGTTCATTGTGGATAATCCAGTCATGAAGGTCATACAAAAAAATGACTGAACTTGTTTTTTTTTTTTTTTTTTTGTCATTGGATAATATAGGGAATTTATTTATGTTGGATATTAAATATTTGTTAATTGGTAATTTATGGACACTACAGTAACATTTAGATTTGCAGTGTAAAAAAATATAGTTTTTATTTTGAAGTGAAAAGTTACAGTTAGACTCAAAATTAGGGCAGAAGGCTTTTTTATGATGTTGCTGATGTTTTTATTATTTAATTTAATACTTATAATTTATTACTTAATAGTTATTACAGTTATTATATATATTAATAGTTATTTATAGTTATAGTTACTGAATTAAATGCTAAATTATTTATCATAACCTTTAGGTAATTATTCAGTATTGTCCATAAGTCTTACTGTGTCTCTCTAGATTCTACACAAAAGGTCTAAATCAGGCTCTAGCTATGATTCATTCTGTGGAAATGGCAAACAGATCTCCCATGCTGAGCAGTTTGAACATTACTCTTGGATATCGCATCTATGACACATGTTCTGATGTCACGACTGCACTTTGGGCTGTCCAAGATCTCACACAGCCGTTCTCAGACTGTGACTCACCAACAAACTCTTCTCAACCTGTCCAGCCAATAATGGCGGTAATTGGGCCCTCTTCTTCTGAGATCTCCATCGCAGTTGCCAGGGAACTCAACCTTCTGTTGATTCCACAGGTAAGTTCTCCATGAAGTAACTCTTTAAAGGTGACATGTCATGAAAATCTGACTTTTCCAGGTTTTAAGTGCTATAATCAGGTCCCCGGTGCATCTACCAACCAAGGAAACGTGAAAAAGATTAACCCAGTAACTTTGTTTTGGTAAGCCTTTTGGTGACGTGGCAAAGGGATCTCATTATAATATCACCGCCCCTTAATCTGTAAATTTCCACCCATAGCGCTGTCATTTTGATTTCGCAAGCGACAACGGTGTAATGCCATGGCGAAAGTTTGAGCAAAACATGCTAACTGTTCTGTCTTTGGCTGCACAGACGAGCACAGAACACTGTTTAGAGTCCCAGCCTCAGAGGAGACAAGAGAGCAGTGGATTTATTGATTTATTTAATGTATATTGCTGCCAAAGTTCTAAAGATGCAGATCTAAAATAAACATGCAATTTATTTCCCAGCTGTTTATCTTCACAGACATAACCGACTGTTTTTTGTAGCTCATGTGTGTTATTACGTAAACTTTGTGAATGAGAACTAAAGCCCAATTTATACTTCTGCGTCGAACCTACGCCGTAGCTTACGCATAGACGCACACGCATACGCCGTAGCCTGACATGCACCTCTCCAAAAATCTAACAGCGCGTCAATTCTACGCAGACCGCAAGCGCTGTGATTGGTCTGCAAGAACCCCTCCCTCCATATGTACTTGAGTTTTGTGTGTTTGTGTGCACTTTAATATATTTTAATGTTACACCTTCTTATATAAAATAAAACAAAGCAAAGAACAAGTGTCTTATCATTTATTATACTACATAGCATTACACATCAGTAGTTGTCCGCAACAAACAATGTTGATCTGCCGTGGTACAAGTCCTTGTGCAGATTGAACGAATGCCATCATCTCCTGTTCCGTTGTTGACTCCTTTTTGTAGTTTTAAATATTGATTTAATGATTTG